CAACTCCGGAAATCAAAAACGAATTTAGAGAGAGTGTAAGTGTGAGGGGGAGGGAGATTAAACCTTAACAGAGAGAATATTAGGAGATGTGGGAGGAAGGGTAAGAGAAAAATGAATGTTGTCGGATGTCTAATGCATAAAGACATTAGATTGTCTATGGTGTGTGTATGTCACCACGAAATGTATCTTTATATATATATATATATATATATATATATATATATTGTATAAAATGACAATTGGAAAAAAATCTTAGATTTTGCCGACGCGTTTCGTCGTCCGACTTTTTCAAGGCAAAAATGAAATCGAAATGTTTTTGTTGTTATAGTTACATTAAAAAAATCCAAATTTAAAAATATAAACGCTTCTGTCTAAGCCTTTTTTCTGGTTAATGTAAATTACCTTTATAGTAGGGGATTTTTTTAGATGTTAGATTGATAAAATGTTTCCTCTTGGTTCTATATCTTATCATTTGATCTGTATTTCATCTCAATTCATATACATACATAGATACACACACACACAACACAGAGACACATACACACAACAAACACACATATATATATATATATATATATATATATATATATATATATATATATATATATATATATATATATATATATATATATATATATATATAGCGACTCTCTCCGTCGATTACGACGCATGAGGGTCAGGCAAATCAGTTCCAAGGAAACCGAAAGCGTGACAACAGCACATGAGATTTGATTATAGTGGTTAAGGTTTCGTGCCGGACCATCCGCACTTTTCGAAGCGCCGAATACAGTGACCTCGTGCAGTACGTACCACAGGGTCCCCAAACGACCTTCCGCAGGTTTTGAATTCAGAGTTGTCCTTCTCCTAGACCAGTTGCTAATCAAGGCTGTTCTGTCTGTTCTGCTATTTCACCCATAGCTGGAGGGAGAAGAAGTGGAGTCATACCTTTCCTAAGGGTATTAGCACGTAAGGGATATGTAATGGATTCGACTGGAATTCGAACTCGGCTCTTTGATTCCTCAATCCAAGCCGCTATCCTTTACTCCACCGTGCCTCTCTCTCTCTGTCTCTGTCTCTGTCACTCTCTCTCTGTCTCTGTCTCTCTCTCTCTCTATATATATATATATATATATATATATATATATATAATGGGGATTACAAAAAGAAAAGCACATAGGGCAACTTTTCATTTACTTTCTCAATTGGAGTTATCCATTTAAATCTATCAAAACGTCAATCACTATGGCTTCCAAATTAAATAGAAATATTCTTCTAAACTATAAGACAAAAAAAGAATAATTCTAAAATTTCCATATTTTTAAAAAGTTTTTATTACAATATTCACAAACTTCCCCATATCGTACTAAAAGTTTTCAAATGTATAAAATTCGGTCACACAATTAAAAAGATATTTAGCAAGAACCCAGTTAAACTCAAGCGTCAACTCTGTAACCTACACACCCTCCTAACATCGTCTAGCATACAGAAATCATCATCTCAACTAGGGAACGTCACCTGCAATGAACAGATGACAATTTTTTAAAAATATTTAATCTCTGATAGTTTCAGCCTCGTACATACACTGTAATCAGACCGCCGACTTTGATTTGTGACAATTCAAATATTATATATTTCCTTTTTTGCAACAAACACAAAAATAGGAATTATGTTGTAGAAACAGGCACAGGGTTCCGTCTTTGGTTCAATAACCAAAAAAAAAAAACAAAAAACTATCAAAGACAGCAACTGCAATTTCCCCTGTCGCTATACATTTCAGCCGGCATTGATGACTCAGATGCGCGCGTTTAGCGTGTTTATTTAAAGGCCAACAAGAACGACGTAAATCCGAGTTAAAATATATTTTCAAAATAGAATCACACGTTAAAGGATTAAACAGGAATTTAAGCTTACTCAGACAATACAGTTTCCACACACAGTCTTCGACAAACTCCTCACAAGCTAAACCGTGGCAAACTATTAGGTCAAAACTATTAAATTTCTTACAGAAATACACCACATGGGACCCCCTTTCCTAAAAAAACAAACAAACAAAAAAAAAAACTGCAGCAGAATTCCTCAGAAAGTGAGCCCCACTTCCTTGTTTATTTCGCATCTCGTTGATAAAGGACACAGGAGTGTCCGAAAATTCCGACCTTAAAATCTTTCTCTTCGTGCTTTAATATAAAATAAATATCATCAGTCTTATTGACGTATTTTTATGATTTTGTTGTCTTTTTTATTTTCGAATTCCATTAGCCGGCTTATTAAATCTCTCTCTCTCTCTCTCTCTCTCTCTCTCTCTATATATATATATATATATATATATATATATATATATATATATGTATGTATATATATATATATATATATATATATGTATATATGTGTGTGTGTGTGTGTGTGTGTGTGTGCGAGAGAGGATAATAAAGTAAATAAATAAAAAGAAAAACATTTACAATCGAAAAATATTTTTGGGGGTTTATCTCTCATCTCGTTGAAAACAGGACACAGAAAATTCCGACTTTAAAATTTTTTCCGACTTTAGAATTTTTCACTTCGTGCACCTGGGTAGTCAAAAGACATTATTATATAAAATAAATTTCAGCAGACTTATTGATGTATTTTTATGATTTGGTCGTCTTTTTGTTCCTCGGATATTATCAACCGGTTTGTTAAATCTATCTATCTATCTATGAAGAAATATAGATTTAAGTTGTACCATATTTATGGGATAAAGTTCTCAGTATCAGAGATAGAGCATAAGTAAATATAAAAGTGAATATTGATGTCAACACTGAGAGGCGACAAGCTGTTTCATGCTAAACGCAATCATCAGGCCGCTAGTGTTGGGTTTTTTCTCGACTATTTATATATATGGGTCAGTGGTGACGATTGCGTCTAACATGAAACAGCCTGTCATCTCTGAGTATTGACTTCAATGTTCACTTTATATATATATATCATACTTATTATAAAACCCAGGTTGTGTGTGTGTGTGTGTGTGTGTGTGCGCGCGCGTGTGTGTGTGTCTGTACGTTTATACATTGGATCGGATTTCCTACATTTTTCAACCGATTTCAACAAAACTTCAAAGGACTACGTAAAATTACCTTGCGGTGGTTCTGAGAGCGCCCAAAATTGGAAATACACAATTGTTTTTGCACGAAATCAATTTGAAAACACGATTAAGGCATTGCGAGAATGAAAGAGGGACAACTCATATCGAGTTATACTTATTATAAAACCCAGGTTGTTTGTGAGTGTGTGGGTGGGTGTGTGTTCGTTTATATATGGGATCGGATTTCCTACATTTTTCAACCGATTTCAACAAAACTTCACTTTTTTTTGGCAGGTAGTGTTTCTTATTGTCTTGCACACTTTTTTCTTTATTTTTACATTCAGAATGCTTTAAAAATTCCATTTACAAGACAATTGTTTATAATAAAATTCTATTCAATCGGTAGACTCATAACGATTGAAAACAATGTTTTGTTTGAGTTTGACCAATTCGTAAAAAAAAAAAAAAAAACTAATTAAGACATGCGTGTCCGTCAACCTTAAGCAATAATCTTTGTCAATTTTATTTTTCAGTCTTTATGATGGTCGATACTTGATCTATCTCTTACTGTTACGCAGGCCTCTACTGCTAGTATATATATATATATATATATGTATATATATATATATATACAGAGAGATAGATAGATAGATAGATAGATAGATAGATAGAGAGAGAGAGAGAGAGAGAGAGAGAGAGAGAAAGAGAGAATAATAACAATAAAATAAATAAATCAATAAAAAGAAAAATATCTTACAATCAAAAAATATTTTATGCCAAGTTTTGATAAGCCGTAGAAAAGGTATCAATCAATTCTTCAAGAAAATTTATTGATACGATAAGGTTTTCCCTTTAAGGTTTTCCAACGAAACCTTTTCCCCTGTGCACACAGATAATGCAAAAGATATTTTCAAAGGTAACATCAAAATGGGGGCAAATGAGTTTTCATTTTATTTAACATCAGATCGTAAATCTATAGTTTACTTATCAAATATTTCTGTCAAGGGTGATCTTTGCAGAAAATATATCAAACGTTTTTGGCAATTGGAAAACGTTCAGTAGAAGAGATATTGTATCTGTAGAAATTAGCCAATCTTAAGGTTATAGCAATTAGCATTGTAGCAGAGATAACTCTTATCTTCAATTGCAATGAAATTGCTTTTTTTTTTTTAGCGAAATAAATTTCGCATTGTTTTTGGATTCCACATTGCTAGCAAATCTCTTTTGACTTTGTTATCGAATGAGCCGCATAGCGTACAACGAAGCATACGTATGTTTGCAGGCAATATCTGAATACACGAGAGAGGGCTGACTATGAAGCAGTGATGTTAGAGTTGTGAAAATTTGCATGTTTCTTGTATTCATATCTATCTATCTATCTATCTATCTATCTATCTATCTATCTTGTATTCATATCGATCTTGTGTTCAGATCTATCTATCTATCTATCTATCTATCTATCTATCTATCTATCTATCTATCTTGTATTCATATCGATCTTGTATTCATATCTATCTATCTATCTATCTATCTATCTATCTATCTTGTATTCATATCGATCTTGTGTTCATATCTATCTATCTATCTATCTATCTATCTATCTATCTATCTTGTATTCATATCGATCTTTTGTTCATATCTATCTATCTATCTTGTATTCATATCGATCTTTTGTTCATATCTATCTATCTATCTATCTATCTATCTATCTATCTATCTATCTATGTCATCTCTTCAGTATCTATCTATCTATCTATCTATCTATCTATCTATCTATCTATCTATCTATCTATCTATGTCATTCTCTTCAATATCTATCTATCTATCTATCTATCCGAATGTTCACATATATCTATCTCTCCATATATCTATCTATCTATCTATCTAGCTAGCTAGCTATTGAAATGTTCACATGTATCTAACTATCTATTGATCTGTTAAA